GACGTTTCAGGGTAGTAAACATGGCCCTGAACAAAAAGAAAACTGCTCCAGTTTTGTCCCTGGTACAAACATCAATCAATCCTTTGCACTTGGTGTTTCTGAAACTTCTGCTGCTGCCAGCACTGATCCTTTTCCTACGAGTGAGTAGATACGGTTATCTGCTGGATGATAGAAATAAAATTAGAAGGCTGTGGAGGGCAGCAAGTTTACTTAAATAGTGACTCCATAAGTTTGCCATCTGTAAATAATAATTCTAAATTAACCTTAGGCTACTCCTTTTTATGTGTTATATATATTTCTATTTATATAAAATGCATAGAATTGATTACTAAAAACACTGAAACTTGTGGGGAAAATTAAGTCCTTCATTTTCAGTGTGACCAGAAATGTACTGCTGGTTTTTATTTTATGATCTAATATTGTAATTTAAAAATCAATTTCAGGTACATTTATTTCTTTGATGATTATTAAATAAAACACTGCTTGTATTAATGAAGTAAAGGAAAATCTGTCCATTATTAGCTTATTGTCAATGCTACTAGAACTGTACTAGTAATTTGCAATTAATTTACCAAAGCAATGCTATAAATCCAAAACATTTGGAGAGTTTTGCACTCAAATGCTTTTAAAAGATTTTTAAGGAAAAAAAGTTAAGTCAAGCCTGCAAGATACAGCTTTCTCAAATGTCTACTGTGCTAAGAATTTTTTGAGCCACATCTGGGTTTAGCAGTAGAGAGCTATCTGATTGATTAGCAATGTCTTTCAGGACCACACATTTGTCATACAGTTACTTTTTCTTTTCTAGAACTAGCCTCCAAGTTCCTTCCTGGTTCTCTAGCTAGATGCTGCTCAAGATTTAATGAGAGTATGAATCACCTAGGGGTCTTGCTAAAATGCACATTCTGATACAGCAGGTCTGGAGTAGGACCTGAGATTCTGAATTTCTAAGAAGCTCCCAGGTGATGTCCATGCTGGCCCACAGAACTTCCAGGCCTCCTTTTCTAGCATTACAACAATTTCCTTTGCTCATCACCCAGCAATAGTATTACCTTTCTCCCTTTTTATTATTGCTGGCTGGTAGCCACAGCTGTCAGGCCTTAATAACCACAGAATTTTAAAACTTTATCATAAAGGAGTCTACAACATTTCTTGATTTTCAGTATTATATATATGTATATATATAATAAAGTCTCTGATTTGTCATGCCTTAATTTTTTGTTTTTTTATTTTTATTTGTAGTTTTAACACTTTATTGTGGTATGGTTCCTGTACAGTAAACTACAGATATTTCAGATGTACACTTTGATGAATTTTGATAGATAATATACACCAATGAAACCACCACCACAATCAAGATAGCTAACATTTCCATCAGTCCCCAAGAGGTCATGCTTTTAGTTAGAAGTTTCTCTCAACCCTGCTTCCCAGATCCTAGAATACAATGGTTAAGCTCCTTTAGATGACTTGGAAGCGCTACAAGATCCTAAACTCTCTACTAAATTATCAAATAAATAGTAGTCACTACAACTTTAGGATTTATTTTCCTTTATTGCAATCTAATTCTTAAATGGTATTCTGAACATGATGTACACAGTAATTTCCAGTTGTTCCTCAACAATGTAAATTGCCCAAAAGTGAGGGATCCTTGTTCACTTTTATAAAGAGTCTTACATAAAAGGAGCATATGTGAAAAAAAATCAAAAGGTACAGATTCTGACAAGTTTATTGGTTTCTATCTTTGCATATTATCCATTGTGAAAAATTCAAAGTGCGATGATTCTGTAGTCACAGTACCTCACAAGGGAATGTGCAGCCTTGTGCCCTGCACCAAAGCACATTTTCCTTATGGAAGAATTTCCAGATGACTATTCCTCTTCTTCCAACTTACAGCTGCCTTTATCACATCACCGAAAGGATCACGAGGCATAACCTTATGCATAACCAGCTTTTCAGTCCTATGTAGAGTCTGTGGGCCCGCTTTCAGCTCCAGTCCCTTCAATAGCTGAGAATTCTGTGTCAATAAGTGGTTTTAGAAATTTCTCAACCTTGGTTAGTCTCTGCTTCAGTTTCTGCTGCATTGACTCATACTCGGCCAGAATGCGAGCAAACCTTGTTTGCAGGAGGTCTACTGACCCCTCCATTCGGGTGACCTTCTCTTCCAGATCTTTAGGATCACTTCCAGCATTTGCGATGTTTACATCCAGTAGACCATCTTTCATCAAAATTTGCTTCCCCTTCTCTTCCAGCATACATTTGGCATCTGGGTACTCAGTAAGAGCTTCCATGAGGTCATCTTTCGAGAGACAGAACAGATCTGAGTAGCCTATACTTTTAATATTGGCCGTTCTTCGATTGCCAGCTTTACTGCCTTTGATGTTTAGGATGCTAATCTCACCGAAGTAGCTGCCGTCACTCAATACCACAAACTGAGTGACTCCATCATCTGCCACCACGGCGAGTTTGCCTTCCTTGATGATGTACATCTCTCGTCCAATATCCCCTTTCTTGCAAATATAATCTCCAGGACTGTAGACTTGAGGTTGTAATTTTAAGACCAACTCCACCAACAGACCGGCTTCACAGTCTGCAAAAATACGCACCTTTTTCAATGTGTCTAAGTGAACGTTGATGGCGATCTCTGCTCTTAGTTTATCGGGTAGATATTTCAAGACTTCTCTCTCATCCACTGTTTTTTTGTTGGTCCACAGGTAGTCAAACCATTTAATGACTCTCTTTTCCATGTCTTTGCTCACATTTCGAAAATGCATGTATTGCTTGATCGCATCAATTCTTGCCTGAAACTCCGCTCTGGCTGCATTCATGTTGGAAATCATAGAACCTATGTTACCAACAATGGTAGCAAAAATTAACACTCCGATTAGGAAATCAGCCACCACAAAGACATACTCGGAATCCCTCACAGGAGGTGGCGTTTCACCGATGGTGGTCAAAGTCAGTGTAGACCAGTAAAGGCTGTATACGTATTTTCTAGCCAAACGGCCGAAGTCAGGATCATTCACATCAGGATAGACCCACGTATCATTTCCAAACCCAATGGCTTTGGAGATAGAGAAGTACACACACGCATTCCAGTGGATGATGATGATGATATACATGACAAGGTTAGAAATCCTGAAGATGTTTGGGTAGTTTGTCCTGGTTTCTGTTCTCTGGAAGAACTCAAACATTCGAGAGATCCTTAACAGTCTGTTTAGTCTAATTTCGGGATAGTTCCACCCCAGCTTAAAATACAGCAGATCGGTTGGTATCACTGATAGAACATCAAGCTTAAATTGAAAATTTGATTTATATTTCTCTATGAGTTTAAGCTCTTCCTTCACCAGTAGCCCTTGCTCTAGGTAACCTAAAAATAGAAAAATATATATAATAATTTAATGGAGTTTTTTTTCTTTTTATGCCATTGTGAATTTTTCTAAAGTAACTCCCAATGAACTCCACTGAGTTCAAAACAAGAGTTCATTTCCAATCAACATTGCTTGTAGCAATGTGGTAAGATATGAGTACTGATCAACATAAGGCTGTGGAAAATATTCTTTTGCAGAAATAAAAAGTAACACTTTGTAACTGCGAAAGTGAGAGACTATGTGCAATGTATATTACAAGGTATGTACACAAATCTCTCTAGATTCAGCATCTCACCCATGTAAAGCCATTCCTTTTATGAACAGTGTTCTTGGAAAGTTTTCTGAACACCCTAGCACTGTGCCTAACTCCCTGTGCCACTCTCGTGTCAGAACCCCGGCCCCAACCTTGAACCTTGAGGACCTCCTTGCTATTTGACAATTGTGCATATTCTTGCCTTGCCTCTTCGATGTGAAGCATCCGTCCTCTGAGACTTCATTTTCATCTCTCCTTCTGGCTCCCCAGGCCTCCTTAGACATTGGGATCTTCCCTTCTCCTAAATTGCTACCATGAGCCTTGTGTATTAAACCCAGGATTTCAGTACTATGATATATTTCACTAGGGAAGGAATCTGCTTCTCTTCCTCTACTGGTTACCAGCTGTGAATAGAACAGAACTGAAGTATTGCTCCAGTGCACTGAGAGCAGAGAATGTCCCTATTTTACATAATGATTCTTAAAAGCCATACTCTGTGTACACAGGTTACCTTTGCTTGTGGAGAGTAGTACAGACAAGGAGCTTATACCTACTTAAGAAGAATATTTAAGTAGGAAGCTATCAGATCCTGCCCAGATTATTGGTCAATAATGCCTCACCATGGAGCACAAAGTTGAATTAAGGATGTATATCCTGTTTCTTGTAAAATTTCTTGCACAGCTCGGCTGGATAAGATGACATTTTTCCCCATGCTTCTTCAAGGAATCTCTGTTAGGTAGCAATTACCCTTTCCCTACGGAGCTGGCAGAATATTTCTGTTCTCTCTATTCCTCCCGCCTGGCATAAACCCAGTGAACAGGATAACAGAGGAAAGCCATCAATCCGCATTCAGAAGGTTGCCTAGTAGTGGCCTCCTGAATCAGCTGGAGTGGCCTAAGCCTGTGGGTGGGAATATGGTACTCTTGCCTTCAATGGTGCCTTTTCTTCTGAAACAAATTTTTGTTAGTTTATTTTGAAGAACACTTGAATTAAGAAATTTCAAATTATAGGGAGAGAGATAAAACCATGAAATTATGAAATATCCAAAACTGAACATATTTACCTGTCCTTGTTCGTACAAACATATCAAGAAGATAGACTAAATCTGACAAGTAATCAAAAATGAGCCAGTATTCCAGGTAATCAGACTGAAGTTCATCAAAACATGCTCTGTAAAAGAAAAACTTGTATAAATAGGGTGAAATGGGACCATTTTCAGTAGAAGTCCTCTTTGTATCATTTTTATCATGGTGAGAAGTGTAGCATGCTCAGGTTGGAAGGGTCCATAGGGCCCATTTAATCAACCGTGACTTTCCCAAATCCTTTCCTGAGTCTGAGGGTTGGACTTAGTTTTCTCATACTTCTGAATTTCAGCATTCTTTCCATTAGACTAGTCAACTTTGTAAAAACATCAAATGAGAATAAATGACCTCAAGGTAATGTCAAAATATTTGGGGTGATACACATTGATAACCAGGTTCATATTTACTATCTGTACCCCAAAATGCCTCAGGGAATCACACTTGGCCCTGGATGGCTGAGATGTTTACTGTCTAAAAGACAGAAACCATAGATATCACTTCGGAAACACATCTGACTCTACACAACCTAGGATCCTTAATCTTTTTCCAGTCCTGGCAAAATGTTTCCTTGTAGCCAAAGAAAATAAAGTTTCTCCCAAAGTTCTAATTAAATGATTGAGCAATCAAACATTTAAAAGGATGTCCCACCCCACACCTCCTCCCCATCCCAGTACTGGATTTCCAAGGATATTGGGAACCAAAGCACCTACTTCTGAACTTAGGGACACACATTGAGAATGACGTAGCCTCCTCTCCAACCTGTGGTGGAGAAAGGAGGTACGTCCTGAAGAGCTCTAGGCCAGACTGCTAAGTCAGCTAACTTAGAAACTAGAAGTGGGTTGAGAGCCAGAAAAAAATACAGACACCTTGCAATAATCATAGTCCAGTTGTACATAACAGGTAAGGTGATGCAAAACAGCCAGTTGTAATATATGTTTCCTGAGGGATCAATAACCGTGACTTCCTTCTTCTCCCTAGCAGCAATTAGAAATAAAGGGGAAGGTTACCAAGAAACAGGATTATTTTTGTTTCACATATCAAATATGGTTATGCCCATCACCCACAATTAATGAAACAGAAACAAGGTGAAGCTTACTCTACAGTGGGAAGATTAGCTTGGCATAAGTGCATTAGAAACTAGTGAGGGGTGGATAGTTAAATTACTAGTCTTACTACATTAAACCATGCTTTAGAAATTTATTAAAGCCCTTGTTTTCCTGTGATGCTGCAGCTACTGAGAGGTAATAATAGCATAGATCAAGCCAAACTGGCTATTGCACAGACCCCTTCGGCAGGTTACTGGTGGTGGAAGAATGGTAGTTTTGCCACTACTCCTACTGGGAAACAAAACAATCAGGGACCGCACTGGGAGGGGGAACTGACTTCCTTCTCATCTGTATAGAGAGCAGACTATAACACAATCTAATAAAAAGTGCTTGTTCTTAAGTGTGTATGAAGACTTGAGAGCAAAGAAGGCAAAAGAATGGAAGGAAGGAAGGGTCTATATGATCAAATGGACATTTTTTAAAAGTTTCTGGTATCAAGCTTATATTTTTAAGGACTTTTCCTTTTATACAATGTCAGCAAGTTCTAACAGGCACAAATAATGAAACCATTGTCTGGTAGTTTTCTTTGAGTAAGTTTAGAAAATAATTTTTCTTTAATAACAAGTAAAAAGATAGCTCTGAAAATATCACTCAACCTTACCCTTGTGAAATTCTAACTCTCAGATGTTTGCTTTAAAAAGAATCTTTCAAATGGCTGGTATTTTGATAGCATTTACACTGCTCTCAAAATTAGGCATGGCTTTTGCAATAAGACTGCTTTACTTTGGAGTATTTGCCACACTGTGTTTATTACTCAAAAATATTAGTGAAATTATTAAATTTTTATTTCAATTTTAAAAATTGATGTTAAGATCCTAGAAACCCAGTTTTCCTTGGATCTTAAACATGTCCCAGTGGTAAGTTTTTCTCACCAGCGCTTCAGGAAGGAAATTAACCATAACATTCAAAATTCTTGATGAGAAAACTAAGACTAAGGTTATCACTACTAATTTTACGGAAAGTAGAAAAAATTAAATTCACATTTTATAACAATTTATTTAGTCTTTACACAGTACCTATTTACTATAAACTTGCAGGAAATTATCCCTGCATCCAAAACCCTTCACATATTTATTCCTAATTTTAATACCAATAAAAACAGTTACCCTTCTTTCTTATCTTTGCCTTTCTCCTCTTTCTTATCTTCACCTTTCTCCTCTTTCTTCTTCTTGTCTTTGTCCTTTTCTTTCTTCTTTTTCTTCTCTGAGTCCTTTTTATTTTCATTTTTATCATCTGGCTTGCTGAAAAGGTGAGAGCTATAGTTAGTAAAACACGAAAATGTTACGGGCAGAAAAAATGTGGGATAGTTCATTCCAAAGTCTTATTTACCTCTTCTTTTCCTTTTTCTTTTTCTTTTTTTCTTTCGGTTCTCTATAGAAAAAACAATATCTCTGTCACATAATCAAGTTACATTATGACTTCCATTCTTATTTACTTTCCTTCCCATTGGGTAAGAATTCTGCACTTTGCATTCAAAGATATGTCCCCCGTGCTCAGAGACCAGAAATCTGATCTCCTAATACAGAATTCTACGAAAAATGGATATGCACCCAGATAATAAAACAAATGAACAAAAATTCCTGGGAATTAGTGCATGTGGAAAATGGAGGTGGATAAAGGCATAAAATTGAAGGAAATTTAAGAAACAACAGTCTCCAGGAGTGCCCTCTCAAAGTCTCAATGCATACCCAAAAACAGTTACTTAAAATTTAAGCTTCTTGAAGGAGGAGGCTATAGCCCAGTGGTGGAGTGCGTGCTTAGCACGCACAAGGTCCTGGGTACAATCCCCAGTACCTCCATTAAAAAATAATACATATATATATTTTTTTAACCACCCCTACAAAAAGAGTTTAAGCTCCTTGATATCACTTATATTCACACTTGAATAAGAGCTTTGAGAATGTCAAGAAAATGCCATCAATTTTCTCTAGAGAAGTAATCCCGGCTGAAGCAGTTTTTTTTTTATGAGACGTCAAAAAGCTCTGTGGTAACACAGTGGAATCCTAATTCTTAGAATCATTCACTGGATTTGAGGTCACTTTCTTCTATATACAGTTTCTTCTTGAATAAAGAGTATGTAATTAGAGGCCTCTCCTCGCAGTTGGTTTTCCCTTTCAGCAGAAAAATGGGTTCTGGAGTCAGACAGACCGACAGTCATAGTAGGTTGCCATTGTTGGCTCAGTTGTCCTGGGAAAATGTATCATTCAGATATGAATGAATGGGCATCTCATTGGCACAGAGATAGCCAGAGAAGGCTGCTAAAGGGAAGCAGGTCTAAACCCAGGCCTCAAAGTATGGATATGAGTTGGAGAGGTTAAGAAGAGAAAGGATGTTAAAGGGAGGGAAATTTGTAGGTGCAAATATACAAATGAACTCAGTCTGGGTAGCAATGGCCCAGCAGAAGTGGAGCACTGCTACTGAGGAGAAATAGGAGATAAAATTGACAAGGAGATGGGGCTTGGCACCTAAGGTTGTCATGTACAAATAGGAACAAAACATAAAGTTGGATAAGGTGGAATTGATTGCTATGGGAGCACACTCCTATGATGCAGGATTTAACACCCTAGCATAGATCCTAGGAGGTGGTGCTGATGCACTTCTTGGATGGCTCTTAGAAGCTCAGAAAAGGTGATGGCTCACACTAAGTGAAATAGAAATTACAAAATGCCATGGCAGATGGTGGAGGAAGGTGTTAGAAAGAGAAGTGGTATACTTAACTGGGTATATTAAGGAAAACAGCCCACCAACTGATTACATTTCCTAAGAGGGCTCAGAGGTACAAAGTGATAAGGAATGTGCAGGTGAGAGGGACACCAGCATCGCTGAGAAGCTCATTGGTGTTGTCCTCTGTGGACCAGGGCTGATAGTGAGAGATGCTAAACTGAATACAGAGCTAGATTCCCTGTGAGCAACAGACAACAGGATCTAGAAATCACAGAGACCAATGACAGTGCTTACCCATCAGAAGAGAAATGGGTCTGATAATTATAGTTAACAGTAAGGTGAGCATAGTAGCCAGGGTCTTAACCCACACAGAGCTATGGAAGAGGATAATAGACACTGCATTCCTAGATAGATGGGCATCCCATTGGCTTGTTAGGGTACTGTTTAACATATATAATTTTTTTTAAAAAAATCAGGAATGGATGATCAGGAGATTGATGGCAACTTACCCCAGTAAAAAGTCACAACTCCTTAAATAGTTCCTAAACCTGAGCTAGTTCTCAGAAACGACACTATTGACTGAAGGAGAAGCCAGGCCCCCATAAAGGACTCTGCAACACTGTGACAAGTATATTCAGTAATAATTTCCCGTCTTTCCTCCCAAGAAAAACCAACGTTCATTTACTTAGGTAATTGTATCCTGGGGAAAAAAGATTCCCTAGATACAATAAAGATTATTTGGCATAGGACCCAAGTCGATATTGAGACCCAGGGATTGAAGCTTCATCATGCCCTCCATTAAAATGGGGGACTTAAGGGTGGCTTGGTAGTAATAGAATCCTGTATGATACATGATTTATGAGGCCTCCACAGGGTCTAAGGACACCCCCGCCTTGTGGTCATTTCTCCAGTTCCCCAATGTAGACATTTTCGTAGACATTTTTGGTCCTCAGTAGAACCCTCATCTCCTCTAGTCCCTTGGCTTGTGGAGTAAGAGCTCACATAGTGGGGAGGACCAAATGGAAGCCGTAAAGCTGCCTCCTACCTGCTGGCAAAAACTATATTGCATCCTGGACAGGAAAGGAAATGCAATCCTTAAAGACCTAATGCATGCAGGGGTGGTGGTTCCCCATCACATCCCCATTTAATTCACTATCTGGCCCCTATTAAAACCAAATGATCCTGGCGGATGGCAGGAGACTACTGCAAAATCAACCAAATAGTAGCCCCAACTGCAGTCGCTGTGGCAGATGTGAAAGACAACACTCACCCAATCAATACCACATTCCTAAGGTTCTGGGTCAGTCATGGTGAATGTGTTATTTTTCATCACTAACAGGGAAGAGGATCAGAAACAGTTCATATTCACACAGGGTGGAAAACAGTACGTACTTGCAATATTTTCCGGGGCTATGTTAACTCTCTGCCTACTGTCATGACATAATTTAGGGGGACCTGGACCATCTGGACCTTCCTCAAGGTATCACATTGGTCTGCTATACCTCTATCAATGACATCATGTTAGTTGGGCCTTGAAAGAGGATTATCTAACCATGGGACAGGAAGTGAGCTGGATTCTGTCAGAACTAACAAGTCATAAGGTTGTATAGCAATCTTTCCTATGATGAAGAGGTCTGTCTGGGACTGGGTAGGTGGCTTGGCACCCTGTCCCCAAGTCATTTACCTCTGTTACATCAAAACTATTCCTCACCCGCCCACTGTGGCCATATATGGGGTTTGTAGGAGCAGCTGATGGAACATGATCTGCAGATAGACCGGCTTGGCATGTGGATGCAAGCCAAAATGAGCTGTTGTCTACAATACAGCCCTGCTTGGGAGTGGCCTTAAAAGGCAGTGAGGTTAATCTTACCAATGGCACAGTTTCAAGCAGTGCCCAGTTATCCTCATTGTATGGAAAAATAAATGGTCCAAATTAAGAATATACAAGAACTCATGGGTAGTCACAATGCCTTGGCTGGTTGGTCAGGGACCTGATGAAAAAATATTGAAAGATCAGGAAAAATGGTTCTGGAGAATAAGCAGACCAAATGGACTTGTGAGCATGAGTACAAGGTTTAAAAACCTTTGTATCCTATGTTAATGCCCATCAAATAGCATGTGCCACGGAGGAGCGAAACAACAACAACCAAGTGGACAGAATGGCTCCAGCATCTGACAAAGCCAGCCTCTGTCACTGGCATCCCCAGTGCCGGCACAGTGTGGATATGAAAGGGGCAATGATGGTGGCAGTGGTGGAGGCTATCTATGTACAGGCCCAACACGTGAGATCCCATTCACGCTGGTGACTAGGTATGACTCTGAATCAGCACCATTGCCTGAGGAAAGCAATCAGTCACTTGATGGCAAGTTAATTACACCGTGGAAGAGGCATCAAATAACCTGGGTTTGAATCAATACATATTATGGATACTAATTTGGCTTTGACCAGTGCCACTATCCAGTGTTGGTTGCTGCCAGTTCACAGTTTCCCTCTCTCTTGGCTTCCCTGGGCTGAAGGAGGCCACCATGCTCAAAGTTATGCCCCCTTTCCTAGGGGCAGCCCTCACCCAATGACTGTGCATGGGTACAAAGACCCAGTCCTATTGCCTAATTCTGGGACAACGTGGAAGGGCCATCCCTGCTCCAGAGCTTCCATGGGATCACAGGGCATGTCAACTCTATTCTCTGAAGTTCAGCTTCTCCGTCTGCCCAGTCTTACTCCACTAACTCCCTTCTAGGTATTGTTTTTGACAGAACTCTCAATAATCATCTGCATACAAACCTCCATCTCAAAGACGGTCCCCTGGGGAACTTGACCTAAGACACTTGGGCTAAGAATGGGAAGAATTAAAAATGATATTTCATTTATTTTATCAACCACCCTAGCTCTAACCACAAGGAGGGGCAATTGCATGTATGTGGTAGACATGGTTTTTCTACACATATTCAGATATATACATACATATATACATACCACCTTTAACATGGGTAGCCATACTTTTCAGAGATAAATAACCAAATGACAAAACAATAGAATATCTTTGCCACTGTGTAGATTCAGATGTGCTTCTACCCTTTTACGGGTTTTCTTCAAAGACGGTTTGGTTTTCAATTGTCGATGTACTTACTGCTCCTTATTGCTGCTGTTGTTAACATTGAAAAGTGCAATGGCTCCAGGCAGGTACTGTTCCCTGGGAAATGAAAAAGGACAGTGAAATCACCATAGTCACCATGTGTCCAATGTTCATGGTAAGAAACAGTCTTAAAGAACAAATTCTTTTCAGTTTCTACACATTACTAACTAGTGCCTAGGCAATTTTTTAAAACATAGAGCCTCTGTGAAGCATGAGTTGCTAAATATCAGTGCCATGAACCAAAGTAATTAGTAGATGCCCGTTAATCAATGCTCACAATACATCACATTAACATCTTCCATGCCCTGAGTGAGTCATCTTGGATGTGGCTAACTCCCAGCAAAAGATCTAAGACTTAGAAGGGAAAAAAGACAAACAAAAACAGTGGGAAAGCTGAAGGTGGTCAGTGGGAAAAGAAACAGGAGAGAAAAAAAAAGAAGGGAGAAAATCAAAGAAAAAGTAAATATGTTTGATTGGATGGGAACCCCTGATTCATACCCTCAGAGTCACATAGCTGAAGGTTCCTTGAGTGCTTCATTCCCTACTGAGGATTTTTAGCCTTTTTCTTCTAGTTGCTCACTCTGGTGCTCTACTTCCCTGAAAGCAGGGTCGAACACAATAGAGCATTTTAGAGAATGACCGCTAACCCCTCTCACTTACAATTGCTTGGAAGAAGAATCAGAAGGGAAGAGGAAATCAGAAAGGACTGAGGCATGAGGTTTCTTACAGGACAGACACGGGTCTCAGGGAAAATGTTCAGCAAGAACGTTTATGACTTGGAGCCCCACACACATGGGTTACCATTAGTTTCCCAAGAGAGCAAAAGGGTAAGAAACAGAAGAAGCAATTTACTCCTGCGATCCTGCCAAGTGGCTTTGCCAAACCCACTAAGTGGAGGAGTAGAACACGATCTCTTCATCTAAATAATAGTGTAAAAACAGATATGGAGGGGGAGGTCACACTGCTTACCTCTGTGATGGTTGTCCTCTCCTGTGCGTATTACTTCTAAAGGAATCCCTTGCATGGGGGATTTCGCTCTCTGAGTCTTCAAATATAGACGCACTGTCATCATCATCAGAAAAGGAGCTACAGTCCAACAGGAGGCAGAGATGATTTAGATTAATGTCTTAAACACTTGCTGGGGAATAACATTTCTCATTAGGGGGACTACTGCCTCATCTCTTCTCCTTCCCTCTCAAATGAACACAGACAACAATTTTTAATGAGAATGAAATGAGAACTGTGCGAAATACATAGAATTAGACAGAGAATATGCATGATCCAGTAAAATACATATAATTAAGAAACTACTTTCAAAGTCTTTCATATTTCTATTGTTTGATGCATTGATCGATGTTAATATTTATTCAATAGAAAGTATGATATCTATACTTTAGGTCATATTATACAGTTTTCTGAACTAACTTGTAATAACATTTCCTTCCATTAAAAATAAATTCAACCACATTTACACAAGTTCTTAACATTTATAGGGTAACCACTTTAAATTATGCTTTTAAAACATGTTAGCATTTCAGACTCTATTTTTTTTCACACTTCTCTATGGTAATGTTATTCCTTCAGATGTGAAATGTCCCATGAGGAAAGGTCTTGCCAGTGACTCAGGAAATAATTGGCTTATGTGCTTCTAAAGAATGACCACAACAATATCTTACATTCGTTAGAAAAGTTATGCTCTTCAAAAGTATACATAAATTCACTTAATTACAAAGTTCAAGGTTTCAAATTAAAAGTTAAACTGATGCAATTGCATACCCAGCACCAAAAAAAAAAAAAAGGAATTAAACCAAAATTCAGCCTAGTTAAATTTAAGAACTGTGTAAAAATACATAGAAAAATGCTTGCATTTACCTGCATGCTCCATTTTCCATCCTTCTTATTTCCTTTTCAATATCTGGTACGATCATATTGGGAATATTTACAAAAGAGTGCCATGTGTTGATAATATTTTTCTTCATGGTTAGTTTAATATCTGGAGAGAAAAAAAGTCTTGTAAGTAGTAAGACTTACTATATATTTACTATGTAATCAAAAGTTTCACTCTACCATTCTTCTAAGGCCTTAATAACAATCTTATTCCTGGTTTTATGTAGGAATTTTTTTTTAATAGAATACAGTCACGATCTAAGCCTTTATTACCATTAGCCAGGTTTTTGTATATTTTTTTAATATTCAAGAATGTACCAGAAGTGTAGAGCTCTTTTTCTTTTTTTCAATCTGGATTTACCCCAGCTTTGAAAATTTAGGCAATGTAGGTGTAGAACAAAACTGTAGGGACCTTACCTTCATATAAACAATTAAGTAACCAAAAAAAAGCAGTAAAATAAAATACCAAAATGCATGTGATCAGTTGAATTACTACAGGCATCCAGAAAAAAAAAAATGGGTCTCGAGTGGTATTCAAACTTTGAAGTGAATAAAGATGAAACTGATCCACTTTTTAGTAAGTCCCATAAATTTTTCTGATACATATAGTGCTCAGCTTCCCACGCAACCAGTTCAGGGATCAGGAAAACGCCAAGAACCAACAGATCCTGATCTCCAAGTCCCACCCAGCAGCACATTCAAGCCAGGGTTCACACAGGTGAATGAGGCACAGGCACACCCGCTTGTCCTCTTCTTTCCCCAGGCTCTGCCAGCGCCGAGGGACAATGCCCCTGCTCTTATGACTACCCCAAGTTCTTCACTTGGTCTCTGCTGTGCTGCAGTGATATGGCCTGGAACTTTGAGAAGTTCCCGGTGGGCCCAGACAGTGTGCCTGTGCACGGGTACAGCCACTGCTTTCTGACCATGGACATGGAGCTGGACATTGATGCCCTGTTGTCCCCAGGGCCCAGATGTGCCTAGGGCGCGCCCCCTCCTACCACTGCACCCCCACCCCTACCAGTCACAGCACTGCCCTCTGGGGATTTCATCACCACGGTGTTTCCTCTAAACTTGCATGGAGGAAACACTTGACGTCCAGGAGACTCCACCTAGATGAGAACTAAGTGTCCATATCAGCACCCCCTCTCCCAGACCAAGGCTCCCCACTAAAAAAGTGCAGGTGTCAGCAGGAAAACAAAAGGAAATGGAGGACAAAAAATTGTTGCCTGGCACTTCAGTAAACAAAGATGTTGCCTGCCCTTCTGTTAAACAACAAATGAATGTTGCCCGCCATCAATCCATTAGCCACTGCAGCCACCAGGGTAGGTGGTTCCGAGGGTAGGAAAAATAGAATACTGGCCCTAGATAGTTAAGATGTTATCAAAGGAATAATTTCAATGACCCAAACTGTTGACTCTTCCCATACACAGAAAAGCACTAAAATCATTAACTAGAGATGTCTGGTTTTTGTGATTAGTAGTAATATTTTGATGTTCAACTACATGATTTTTTTCATCAAAAACCCCTATGTGTCCTGGTTCCTCATTTATCTCTTTGGATCAGTCCCTCAGAGCTATCTGAGAGGCTGCCTTCCTGGGCTACAATCTTCAGTAATGTCCCTGAATAAAATATAATTCTCAACTTTTAGGTTGTCTATTTTTTTCAGTCGACAAAAGCCCAGTATGTGTTCATGGGCTCCAAGAACACTGCCAATGTTTATCAGCTCTTGTATTGAAGGTCACTTGCCATGGGTCCCTCTGATGAAGACCCAAAGAAGGCAACATGCTGAGAGTATGACCTGGGGTGCTGGACTACTTCAACAGGTCCCATACTTCCACCTATCCTCCATGGCCACTCATTCATCCATCCCTCCCCTCCCCCTACAAAACACACACCTAGCTTGCACTCCCAGCTTTTATTTTATGCCTTGGAGATTTTTCCTTTGTTATTTTTCTATCCCTGATCTCTGGGTTTTGGCAGGAAGCTTGTCTTTGTCATGAATAAAATAGTAAAGCAAAAACCAAAAAAAAAAAAAAGAGAGAGAGAGAGAGGGAGAGAAAGAATATAAGAAGCCATTTGAGGTGGGGAAATGTATAAAACACACTTTGTTCTGTAAAATGTTAAATCTTCAAGTGAGGATAGCAATAAATAGTGCTCTTTATTTCACCCTAGCATTCAAACGGCTGATGGAAATAATAGCCAGTAGTCAATAAATAGTAAACAGAATTTTTGTGATGTTTGTTAATAAAAGTGTGCATATATTTTAAAATATAATTAAAGTACTTTTTAAAGAAACAACCACTTATTAAGAAGAGAATTGTTTCAATGACCTCTTTTCAGCATCAGACTGGACATTCTGGTTATATTTACAGCATGCTGACTTGTTATTGTCATCAATGACCCCTCTTTCTGAGAGACCTCATGCCTTATGATCAGGAAAAGAAGAAAATATGATTACTCTAGCCATTATAACGTAGAAAAATTATGTGAGTAACATTACACAAGGACAGATGACAGTATTATCCAATATGTCAGATAGAACCAAGTCTGGGCTTTGCTTGGATCTGAAGGAAAAAAAAAATCACTTTCCTTGTTCCATAATTTCTTGTTGGTCTAAGTGTTCCACACAGGAAAAAACTTTCTTTATATCACATAATCACTTTCTTAATACATAATCATTCTAGGAAAAAAACAGAAGGTATAAATAGAAAAATAAAGATACTCAAAATTCCACTCCGGACTTTATAACTGTTTACCAACATATTTTCCCCACTGCTTCTATGGTTTCCTTTCTCATATTTAAATTTTAATCTATTTCAAATTTATTTTGGTGTAAGATGTGAAATAAGGATTTAACTTTAGATTTTCTAAATGGCTAGTCAATATTCTAAATAACACTAAATCAATAACCAATAATCTGTCTTTTCCCTACTGATTTGAAATGCCATCATCCGAAACTTACTTTATCAACCGGAAAGATTTTGATGGAGTTTGCATTAAAATTATAGAATAAATTGGGAAATTATTTTCCTTTATGTTTTTGAAAAAGCTTCTACATATAGATCCTACATGTTTTTTAATCCCTAGATGCTTTGTATTTTCATTTCTATTGTCATTAGGATAGTTTTCCCTTGATATATTCTAACTCATTGCTTTTGCTATTTCATAAAATTATTTTTCTTTATTTTGAAACCAGCCACCTTAAATAACCTTTACAAAAATTATTTCTAATAGTTTTTCTGTTAAACAATTTCTGTTTTCAGTAATACAGTCAGAGTACTTACACAAATTCTTTCCTTTTCTTTTTTAAAGAGGTATCTAGCTTTGATGTCTAGTTGCAATGACTGAAACTTCCAGAACATAATAAATAACAGTCTTAATATTGTGATATCAAAACTGTCTTAAGAGATACCTAGTGTGGTTCTTGGCTCTGAGAGTGTTTTTAGAGTTTCACTCTTAAGCGTAATGCTGCTGTTTGCTCAAGAGAGATGTTTGATTCTGTTCAATAAATCTCCATTTATTCCTATTTTACTATTTTAAAAAATTAGAAATTGAAATGAATGTTGATTTTTATTGAGGCTCTCTCACTTTTATAGAAATAATCATATTTTTCCTTAAAATTTTTCCTTTTTTTAATTTAAGTATAGTTTAGTTTCAGATACACAGCAAAGTGATTGTTATACATATATTTTTTTTCTTTCAGATTCTTTTCCATTATGGGTTATTATAAGATATTAAATATAGTTCCCTGTGCTATATACTTTGTTTATATATTTTATATATAGTATTGTGCATCTGTTTATCCAAACTCCTAATTTATCCCTCTCCCCACTTTCCCCCTTGGTAACTGTAAGTTTGTTTTTTATGTCTGTGAGTCTATTTCTGGTTTTTAAATAAGTTCATTTGTATCATTTTTTTAGATTCCACATATAAGTGATATCATATGATATTTGTCTTTGTTTGGCTTACTTCATTTAGTATGATTATCTCTAGGTCCATTCATGTTGCTGCAGATGGCATTATTTCATCCTTTCATATGGCTGAACAATATTCTGTTGTGTATGTACCACATCTGCTTTACCTAGTCATCTGTGGATGGATATTCAGGTTGCTTCCATGTCTTGGCTATTGCAAATAGTGCTACTATAAACATTGGTGTGCATGAACCTTTTTTAATTAGAGATTTTGTCTTTTCTAGATATATGTCTAGTAGTGGGATTGCTGGATCATATGGCAACTCTATTTTTAGATTTTTAAGGAAACTCCATACTGTTCTCCATAGTGGCTATATCAATTTACATTCCCATCAATAGCGTAGGAGGGTTCCTTTTTCTCCACATCCTCTCCAGCATTTATTATTTGTAGACTTTTTGATGATGGCCATTCTGGCTTGTATGAAGTGATACTTCATTGTAGTTTTGATTTGCTTTTCTCTAATAGTTAGTGATGTTGAGCATCTTTTCATGTGCTTGTTGGCCATTTGTATATCTTGTTAAAAGAAATGTCTATTTAGGTCTTCTGCCCATTGTGTTTGGTTTTTTGATGTTGAGTTGTATAAGCTGTTTGTATATTTTGGAAATTAATTCTGTCGGTCGCATCATTGGCAAATAATTGTCTTTTCATTTTGTTTATGACTTCCTTCGCTGTGCAAAAGCTTTTAAGTTTAATTAGATCCCATTTGTTTATTTTTGCTTTTATTTCCATTACTCTAGGAGACAGATCCAAAAAAAAATATTGCTTTAATTTATGTCAAGGAAGATTCTACCTATGCTATCCTCTAGGAGTTTTATAGTACCTGGTCTTACATTTAGGTCTTTAATACATTTTGAGTTTATTTTTGTATATGGTATTAAAGAATGTTCTAATTTCATTGATTCACATGCAGCTGTCCAGTTTTCCCAGCACCATTTACTGAAGAGACTTTCTTTTCTCCATTGTATATTCTTGCCTCCTTTGTCATAGATTAATTGAAAATAAGTGTGTAGTGTAGGTTTATTTCTGGGCTTTCTATCCTGTTCCATTGAGCTGTCTGTTTTTGTGGCTGCATCATACTGTTTTGATTACTGTAGCTTTGTAATATAGTTTGAAGTCAGGGAGCATGGTTCCTCCAGCTCTGTTCTTCTTTCTCAGGATAGTT